TATGTCTAACTCTTTATCAACTGTGACTCCTAACACCCTCTGGTATGATGGGAACTTCTATAATTAGATACATATCTCAAATTTATAGTAATAGCTTTTATTTGTTAATTCTAAATCCATTTGTTTCACAGTATTGTTTACAACGGATCTTATAAAGCACAAATATTTACTATTTTCTTTAAAGATATATCATGTTGTTATGAAGGTCACACTAACACCTATTTAAAGTGTCAAGAATATTTTAGGTGGGGGAAGGTTTCTAACAATCTTTTTCTTGAGAAATATTTTTTTCCTGAATGGGATGAAGGAGGTTAATGATGATCCTGTAGGGTGCCTCATCCTTCTTGTTGGTATTTCAATTTAATTCAATTTAATTCATTATTTTCCCTCAATTTATACTTTCCTTAATCCCCTGAGAAGTGTAAAAGATAGAACCAGGCATCTATAAATTTGTTGCTCATGCTGAGAAAGATCTTAATGCTGATCAATTATTTATACCACAAAAGGGACTTTTTAGTGGACATCTGTAGGTACTGTCTTCATTTTCCATTTTTTTTAGTCTATTGCATTTTCTGAAGTAGAAACTTTATTTCAAGTAAGGTTGTGTAGCCATCCCATTAACCTCAGAAGAACTAAAAACAAGGATAACATTTGTGATGTTGACGTTATCTGTATTCTGTAGAATTCCAAAGATGTTGCAGTTATGAAAAGAAAATGACAACATGCTCTTTCTTAAGTCAATATATCCATTAGTCTAGTTAACTGTGTGTGACATTTTCAAGGAGAAATTTTTTTTTTTTTATGCTGTGGGAAATGATGAAGAGTTCCATTTTCCCCTCACGTCATTTTGTTGTGTGCATTTTCCATTTCATTCTTTGATGTGCAAGGCACTGAAAGGAAAATTAAAATAATACCCAAAAAAGTAATTCTTATTCTCTGTCTCTGTCTCTCTCTGTCTCTCTGTCTCTCTCTCTCTCTCTCTCTCTCTCTCTCTCTCTCTCTCTCTCTCTCTCTCTGTGTATGTGTGTAACAGAGGATATTCCAACTGTGGGTGCAGTCTCACTGGACTGAATAGCCCATTCTCAGAATGTCTGATCTATGACCTCATAGGGGCAGCAGGCAAAATTGGCCCCCACCATGAAAGGGTGCCCTGTTAATGGGTCTAAGGACAAGTAATATGTTCATATAATACATCACAGGTCAGGAGGTGGCAACCATACACAGGGGCAGCAGTCATCAAAGTGAAATAAGCAAAGTACCATGAAATCCCTCCCCACAAAAACAAAGCAAAACAAACAAAAAATTTTATCTTTTTTTTTTCTTTTTCAATCATTTATGTCTCCCACTATGTCTTTTTCTTCTTCTACATTGGTCACTCCCTTGAAAGTTATAATTCTGAAAATGAATGAGAAACAGCTTTTCAAAATTAATCAAGAAATAAATTATGATAAACAGTATATGCAATGTTCTATATCCATATTTGCCTATTTCTGCAAAGAAGGCAACAAGGTTATGCTCCATCTTATTTATTCATAAGACTCTCAAGTATTAGCATTTGATCAATTTCTTAATATATTTATCCAGCTCTAACCTCATTTCCATTCTTACATGTCCAACTTTGTATTGGACACCTTACATTTAATGTCTTCCCAGCATCTTAAATTCACTGTGTCTAAAATGGAACTCGATTTTTTTTTTCACCTTAAACTATTCCCTCTTCCAAATTTCCCAATTATTGTTGAGGTTACCACTATCCTCTCAGTTACCAGTTTTGCAAGGTAATTATCATCCTCCAGTCCTTACACTCTCTCCCTCTCTCCCTCTCTCCCTCTCTCTCTCTCTCTCTCTCTCTCTCTCTCTCTCTCTCTCTCTCTCTCTCTCTCTCTCTCTCTCCCTCCCTCCCTCCTCTCTCTCTCTCTCTCTCTCCTCCCTCCCTCCCTCCCTCCCTCCCTCCCGTCTCAAACCCATTTCCCTCTTTCATGTGGAATTTTGCAAGGGCCTGCTGGTTGGTCTCTGCTTCAAGCCTCTCCACACTCAGCTCTCAAATTGATCTTTCTAAAATGTAGGTATGACCACATTATTTTCTTCTATCTCCCTCCAGCTTCATTCAATAAATTTCATTATCTAGTTGTTAAACCTGAGATCAGAGGGAGCTGGGTGACACAGTGGATAGAGCACTGGCCCTGTATTCAGGAGAACCTGAGTTCAAATCCGGCCTCAGACACATAACACTTACTAGCTGTGTGACTCTGGGTAAGTCACTTAACCCCACTGCCTAGCAAACAAAAACAAAATCTGAGATCAAATCTGAAATCCTGTCTGTCATTAAAAGTTCTTCATAATCTATTTCTTTCCTCTCATTTTAGTCATCTTACATCTTAATTCCCTTCACATATTTAGTGATCTAGTGATTCTGACCTTCTTGCTACTCCTTATTCAAAATATTTCAGCCTCCGACTCCTGTCTATTTTCACTGGCTAACCTTCATTTTTGGAACTTTTTTCCTCTTCATCTTCACCTCTTGGCTTTCCTGGATTACTTCAAGTCTTACTTAAAACTCTACCCACTATAGGAAGTCTTTCTCAATTCCCTTTGATGGCAATGACTTCCCTCTTTTATTATGTCCAATTTATCTTATGTATAACTTGTTTGCACAGAATTGTTTGCATATTGTCTCCCTCATTAAACTTAGCTCCTTGTGAACAGAATTGTCTTTGACATTTTTTTTCTCCTCTTTTCTTAGTGCAATGCCTAAACATTCTATGTCAGATTCTGCAGTAATCTCAGGATTGAGAATGGTTCTCTATTGTCCTGAATGATGCTTGTAACTAGCATAATAGCAGATACATCCTATTGGCCAGATATTTTGTCAGAGTTCTTTTCCTTTCATCATTAATAGATAGTGCCATGATCTAGTAGAATACTAGCTTTACAGTCAGTTGACCTGGATCACAATTCTAGCTCTGACACCTACTTGAGCTTTATAACCTTGAGCAAGTCACTCCACTTTAATATGCCATAGTTTCCACTTCTTTAAAATAAGAAGGCTGTATTAGATGCCTTTCACTTATTTTCATCCAAATAATTATGATTATATGATCATCTTGGTACATAATACAACCTCCTTTATTATTAAAAAAAAAATAACAGGCAGTCTTAACTAAGCTTTCCCTGACTGAAGCCCATTATTGAAATGACAAAAAAATGATTTAACAAAATATATCTTTGATCTTATCAATGTGGTTTTCCTTTTCTATAATATAGATCATAATCCATCATTTTTTTCTTTGTTTTTGAGGCAGAGCAAAGTGACTTGCTCAAGGTCACACAGCTAGTAAGTTTCTGAGGTCAGATTTGAACTAAGATCCTCCTGACTTCAGGACAAGCTTTCTATCCACTGCATGATCTAGATGCCCCAATCCATCCATTCCTTTATGATCCTTTCTTATCCTGGTCCATGTACTCCATTGAGATAAGAGAAGGCTGTCCATTTAACATAGTGGGTACCATCTCCATTTTCCCATTGCTTTATAACAATACCAATGGAGCAGCATGGTTAATTAATCTGTTAACTTTTGCTCTGACCACTTGAATAATCCATCTTTTTTTTTCTTTTACCTATATATTTTTTGATAGTATACATGTAAGAAAATATAAGCTATTTAGTGTTATGAGGGGCAGAATCTTTCATTTCTTGTCTCTCTTTGTGATTCTATTGTCTGTCTCATAGCAAATATTTAATAATTGCTTATTGATTAAATCATTCATTGACATTATTTATTGTTTTATTTAACAATTACTTGCAAAGTGGGTAGATTGCTAGGCCCTGGAGTTAGGAAAACTCATCTTTCTGGGTTCATATTTGACCCCAGATGCTTACTAGCTGTGCAACCCTGGGCAAACCACTGAACCCTGTTTGCCTCAGTTTCCTCATCTGTAAAATGCTAGAGAAGGAAATGGCAAAACACCCCAGGATATTTGCCAAGAAAACCCCAAATGGGGTTGCAAAAAATCAGAAACGACTGAAAAATAACTGAGCTTCTCTTCCTTCATAGGCAGTGAATGGGTTCCCCTCTCAAAAGGTCAGAGGAACATATTAGTGCTGGAAAAGATCAGAGTAGCCTTCAAAGTACAACTCCTTAATTTTACTCATAATTAAACTGAGGCCAAAATATATTGAGTAACTCTTTCAGAGTCACTCGTATATATGTGGCACAGCTAGAATTTGAATATTGCTTCTCATACTCTTTGTCCCAAATATGTAGTACTGTTCCTCCAAACTCATTATTCATTTAGAATATTGTGTGGCATGCTGATGTGTTCATTTTTTGTATTACCCAGTTGATGACATTTGGTTTTGATTCTTCAGTATATTCTTTAGAAAATGATTTCAGGATATTCAGCCATAAAATGATATATTGAGAAAATGTGTCTTTGTTCTAGAGAGAAGTTTGAAGCCCTTAAAAGAACTTAATAATTAGCCAAAGACCCTTCTGACTGCTTTCTTCCTCCTACTCAATTCTGGATGCAATTCATTGCCCATAATAATCAGATTTATATGTGAAAATGGTTTATCTTAATTGTTGAAGGATGTTAGCTGGAGTGTGCATAGCAGAACTTAGGCAAGAGTAATAAATCAGAATTGGGCCATTCCCCAGTGGGGTCCTGATTTATGAATGAAAGATTTACTTTTCCAAACTTGCCATAACTCAATTCAAACATAGAGATGGTCTGAAAGAAAGTGAAAGGTGTCCATGCTTGTTATTTGAGGTAAAGGCCTTGATGTAGCATTAATATACAACATTGTCTTCTAGGACAATGGGGACATAATTCAACACACTGACTTTGAAGAACTTGCCAGCCCATGAGTTGATGGAGGGACTGGACAATAAGGTAAGTAGAAACCTCTCTTTTCTTTTCTGAAGCTAATGTATTCTATGTATACATCTATCTTTTTTCTCTTTTAATTAATAAAGCACATCTTTATCCCATACCCGGTTCTTTATACATTTTAAAGTTTAACCTTGTTGAATGGTACAACTTATATAGGTTGATTCATAACACAATGGACTTAGCTAAACAAGAAATACACAAGTGTTAACTTGAAAGTTTATAAGTCTCTTTCCAGAGTGGTAGAGGTCCTGTTGTTTCTCCTTTAATACACTTAAAACAACTTAGTTTATGATGCAGTTTAGATTTATTATTTTTCATTCATTGTCTCATTCTGTTGGAGGACGTTATAGCCATAAAGGAGGAGATACGTAGCATCCATCATGAAGTGTCAAAGATCTGTCAGGTCGATGGCTCTTTTTGAACTCTGCTGTTTCAGGAAGGCATAGCTGAGTGTTATAGGCAGGAGTTTGACATTTTCTGGATGAAAATCAATTTTCTTTTATGTGTTTCTGAACTGAAGCGTCTGTTATGATTTCATGAGCAATGGTTGAGACATTGGGTGGAGATAAGGGTAACAAAACAGGGTTTTAGATAAAATTGGCAAAGCATAGCCTCAGCAAAGTAGTGAAAAAGAAACTGTGGTGCTTCTATCTATCTATCTATCTATCTATCTATCTATCTATCTATCTATCTATCTATCTATCTATGTCTTTTAAGAGTTATGACTAGTGTGATGTACCTGAGGCTTTGCCCACTTCAGCCCTGTAGAAGCAATGAACCTAGCAATAATGATTTTCCCCTAGAGATTCATTCTAGGCCTGTGACTTCATCATAGTTGCAATATCCCAGAACTGAAGATCCTTTTTTCTGTATAGCAAAGGTATATTTTCTGTAGCTTATAATCTTAAAAGAATTCCCTGGGGTCTTCAGAGTACATAACTATTGGTCACACAACTAGTATATATGTAGAGGTAGTCATGGAGCTCAGGTCCTTTTGATTCCAAGTTTGGCTTCTTCTTCCTTATGCCTTATTGTATAACATACCAGGTAGCAAGAAGAATTAGTTGAAATAGAGAAAAAAAGAAACACATTATGCTTCTTCGTCCTACCAACTCCAGCCAACATTCCTGAAATCTCTCCTGCCCTATGTGATATGTAATAGAGTCTCTCCTCTAACAATTGAATTTAGATAAATTTAAAAAAAGTAGTAAAAGGATCCCTCCTGTATAGCCTTTCACAAACATGCTTTGTGAACACTACCTTGGAAGACAAAATTAAGATTGACAACTCCAGTATTTTAAAGAAATTAGGAAAATATGATTAGAAACCAGCTCCATTCCTCTCAGCAATGTTATATTTGACTGAAATTAGCATTAATTTCTCAGTTGAGAAAGAAATAAATAAGTCTTCACCATCTAATGTTTTGGTGGGCAAAAACAAAATGATTGAACTAGGGGCATTTTGGAGTATCTGAATTATTATATACAAGGCACAGTTATCCTCTTTTCCTCAAATTTAAAATAAAAATATTTAAGAAATTTTAAATAATAATAATAATAATAATAATAATAATAATAATAATAATAATAATAAATGTAGCCTGCCATAGAGTGGAATATTTAGAAATAAAGTTTAAATATGTAAAGAAATGTTATTTCAAGATTGTTAAGCATTTATGAAGTTCTTACAATGTGTCAGGCATCATAATAATCTATGGGGACTCATTTATTCATACATCTTTCTTTTCTCAGTCTGTGTCCTTTGTTTCTGAGAGAGCAAGATAGTAGATATTTAATATGTACCTGTATCTACAAATCACGACAAATAACATTCTTTCTCTAGACTTCATATTGTTATCAAATATCCTGTATAGTTTGTTTTTTTTTAATCCTTCACTCAAAGATGCATGCAAGTACTGAGATAATTTCCTGAAGGGATCAGAGATGAAGGAAATGAATCATTAGTTGAAATATATTTAATGCCTTTATATTTTCAGCAACTAATACTGCTAGCTACTATAGTAACAATGCTTCCCATTCTATTTCAAATAGCTGTACTTAAATAGTAAGTGTGCATAAATGTCTATATAATAATAAAGAAAAATAATATTATAGCAAAATAGTATAATTAAAAATAATTAGTAGCATTTTGGCTTATTTGAGAGAAGGCTTAACCTGTTTGAATTCTCCTCCTCTGACATGGTGTGATGATTAAAAAGAAGTCACCAAATCTCCCATAGGGTTAGTTTCCACACCTGTAAAATGGGAATAAAAATTCTTATATTACCTATCTCACAGTTTTCTTGTGAGGAAAAATAGTGTCAGCAAGAATTTCTTGGTATATATTTTGTACCATATAGCAAAGTTGATATAGGAAACATTAGTACTATATGCTAGGCACCATGCTAAGCAGTAGTGATACAAAGAAAGGGCCCAGCAATCCCTGCCTTAGCAAGCTCACAATTTAAGGGGGGTGTGTAAAGATTCAAATTATGTATATGTGTACACACATACATATGTGTATAGGTAAATATGTGTCTGTGGATACACATAGACACACACATATGTACACACATGTGATATCCAGGGTAAACCGGAAATTATTTCTTAGGAAAGGCACTAGTGCTTTGGGAAAGGGGAAGGCTCTAAACAAGGCCTCTTAAAGAAGGAAGACTTCGAACCTGGAAATCCAAGAGATAGATATCAGGAGAGAGAAAATACCAGTTCTTAGGGAGAATCAGGGAGGAGGCACAGAGTCAGGGGTGGAGTCGTTGCGCAAAGAGCAAAAAGCAGACAAAAGCTTCTTGATTACAGTGTATATGGAGGAAAATAAAGTGTAAGTAAACAAGAAAGGTGTTAAAGGGACAGGTTTTACTTAATAACCAATTAATCTCAAATGTCAGGCCAAGGAAATATTCTTCAGAAGTAAAGCCCTTTCTTTTACGTTGTTTAACAATATTCATATTAGAATAAATACATGACTCTTTGGTAGTGTCAGAATGTGCCTTTTAGGGCGAATTTCCTGATCTTAGGTGCAGTGTGGTTTTCTAGGGCCTGGGGAAGCAGAGGGATGTCCCACCGTGAGAGAGCTGCTGGGATGTGTTAGGGAAAGTAATCCTGAGAATCAGGAGAAGATGCTGGAGAGACAGGATGAAGTGAACATGCCTGATCTGGTCCCTTTCTTTGAAACAGAGGTTCTTGGAGAAAGCGAGCAATCAAGGTAAGAGGCTGAAATTGCAGAGGGATCTTCCTGTAAGAATGCCGGTGGGCAATGATGGAGATGACATCCTAAAGGATGGGAAGGCTTCCGGGAAGGAGGGAGGATCTTGAAAACCTAAGTTCAGAGCACCAGGAAAAGAACCAAGTAAAGGATAAAGGAAGGAGATAATATCTTGCTTGGATATTCCCTTAAAATGGAGGTTTCAGAAGGAACTAATTGAGCAAAGGAATGCGCCAGAGGGGAGGAAGGATCTTCCAAGGAGAGAAGGTTTCTGCAACATGGTAGATTGGTCACCTGGACCAACAGGAAGTTAAGTGACTTGCCCAGGGTCAAACGGGTAGTTTGTAGGATGGGTTTGAACTTGAAGCCAGAGTTTTTTGACTCAAGACACTATCTGTATCCACAATTCTATACTGCTTGCGGTATGCATAATCTCTCCCACTTTGTCTTCATCACTGACCTCATTGTTAATTGAATAATACAGTTTTTTTTTTTTATGTTAAATGACTATGGGGGTTGATGGAAGGAAACTTAACAAGCATATATTAAGCATCTTCTATGTGCTAGACACCATGCTAAGCTCTACAAATACTACCCTGGTTGATCCACACAACTCTGGGAGGTATATTCTATTATCATTATGTATGAGGAGATGGAAGTATACAAACATTAAATGCCTTGTCCAGGGTCACACAACTAGTAAGTGGATGGGGCGTTGTTGTTGCTGCTGCTACAATTGTTGTGGTGGTGGTGGTTGTGGGGGTGATATTGGTGGTGATGGTGTGGTATGGGACCCATACGTTTAATTACATGATCGCACCCACTTCCCTGTTGCCAAAGACCCTCCACCATGAAAGTTGACAAGTGAACAGATATTCTATATTAGAGAGTTGCCTCAGCCACTGAGAGGCAGTGATATGCCCAGCAGTATTCAATCTTTATGTTTAGAAGTTGTTTAGTTGTTTTCAATCATGTCCAGCTCTTCATTTCGAGTTTTCTTGGCAAAGATACTGGAATGATTTGGCATTTCCTTCTCTAGCTCATCTTACAGATGAGGAAACTGAGGTAAACAGGGTAAAGTGACTTGCCCAGGGTCACATAACTAGGAAGTGTCTGAGACCGGATTTGAATTCAGGAAGACAAATCTTCCCAACCCCAGGCCAGGCAGTATCTGCACTTCACTGGCTAGCTACCCATGTTTAGCAGAGACGATTGCAATTTATGACTTTCTGGTTGTCTATCTTCCTTCACCTGCTGCCACTTAAAGCCATTTTAAGATATATGAGTTATATGAAATACATTTCATGTTATCAACCTCCTACTGGTATGCATGGACATGGTAATGACTTCTTTAATATTCTAAGCTTCCCATTTTGGGAATTATTCCTTGTTTTCATTTGTTGTTGCCTGCATTTTTCACACCTTTCAAGGCAAACAGAATTACTTAAAGCCTATAACTGAGGCAAGCTGTGCCTTGCTTCAAGGTAAATTCTGAAACTGAAGAGTGTGGGTATCACAGAATGATGAGAAAATAGAGAAAGCTTGTTCTGCACTGAACAGGCTCATAATTGTGCAATCTATCATGTTAATGTACCTGAAGCTGAGTAGCCTTGGCTGCATTTTAAATGAATTAAATAATTGAAACCCAAGATCATAGATCCTCCGTCCAAGTACATTTGCTGCTGTTTTGATACTAATTATCAGCATCACTCAGACAATTACCCCCTAACATATTTATGGAGCGTGCACTAACTTCTATGTTAAGGAAGCTCTAAATAGCCCCGACATCTTGGTCCAGGGTAATTTTCTTCCTAGCTTACTTGTCTGTAATGTCTGCAGAAGTGGAAAACTAAACTGTTAGTGATAACACATGATTTCAATACAATTCCTTTATCAGTTAGGGGCTGTTATTTGAGGAAAATATTAAATATAAGTCCTGTAAGTTTCAGCTCCCTTTTGCAAAGGAGATGAGGGTCTCTACCACTTTGAATCCCATAAGCTAGAGACAGTTGATTACAGAGGAAATTTGGATTCAGAAAAAAAAAATATGTTAGAAGCCTTACATTCTGGGGCATTTAATTCACCCCTGTGGTCCTCATTTACTTCACCTCTAATTCATTTATTAATTTTCTAACTCAAACTTCAATCTGTAATCCTTCATTTATAGAGTCCATTCCAATCTAGAGCCCTCTGTTACCTTACAGCTCAAAGGGAATACAAGAATAACCACTCTCTTTCTCTCAGAAAGAAACTGAGACCCATAGAGTCACTTTTACCCAGACCATGTTGGTAGTAACAAATCTGGAGTCTGAATCTATGTCCTTTGACTGGAAACCCAGCACTCTCTCTATTGCACCAAATTTAACATATATTCCTTATATTGGTTTAGGGGATTTGATAATTAAAGAAGGTATTTGGTCTTTCACACAAATTAAAAATCTTTCAAAGTAAAAACTAAGTTCATGTTTAAGTAATGAAAGTGACTTATTTTGTCTTTATTACCTAAACACTTGTCTAACTTGATAAATAGTGTTAAGTAAATGTATGGGTGACCTCAAGCAGAATTTGCATAAAAAGAAGCAATCTATTCTTTTTTTACATTTCTTTTTGAAAGTTTTTTTCAAAAGCATTAATTTCAAAAGCTACTATTGCAAAATCCTAATATCCAGTTAGTTTTCAAGTGCAAAATTATTGCCATATTCCTTCTTTTTTTTCTCTAAGATGAATTATTTCTCTTTGATATTGGGTCACAAGAAGCATTATCACCACTGACAAACAGGATCTCAGAGTGGCAGCAGTGAATTTAGCCACACTAGGCCTCAGAATTTTATCTTCTGAATGTTCAAATGCCCATGAACAGGAGCTCTTGTTTGTGGCAACTTTTTCTCAGCTTGGGGACATGGGGAAGGGATGACAAGCCAGCTTTGGGATGCAAGGTGAATGCTCACAGGAGTACTTTGAAACTTAGGGGAAGTTTGAGTATTGCATATGTGGTACAACTTGCAGCAGCATTTGGAGATAGTTGATTTCCTACATCTAGACGCTGGAAAAACAGATACAGGGCTGGACTCTGCACTCTTCTTTCCTGTTACATTTAATGACTCCTACTTAATTAGGAAAGTACTTAGTTGTATAAATTCTTAGCACAGTGCATGTAACATCAATGCTAGCTCATAATAATACTAATAATACTGATAGAACTTGATGGACATGGGATGTAAAGAGAGGTGGCAAGTGGCAAAGATGTTCAATGTGCAGAATTGCCATAATTTTTAAAAAAATTAGGAGAAAAGAAAGTTTGTATGATTTTAAAATGCTCACCAGGTTTTTTCTGACTGTCAAGGGAAAGGAGGCAAAGAAGAGAGTTAAGGAAAACAAAAATAATATTTACTTAACTAGGGCAGCCAGAAAGAAATATGATTTATACTTGTGCTTAGAAAGGAGTAAAATCCCAGATCCTGAAATTCGTAATAGTCTTATTATTTGACTTGGTCTTTGAGTTGTGAGTATGTATTTGTGTGTGTGTGTGTGTGTGTGTGTGTGTGTGTGTGTGTGCATGTTTCACTTTGGAAAAAAATCTGCTCTAATCCATTAGCACAATATCTACCATGCCTCTTAAAACCATTGAAGTCTTTACGACAATGTTAGTAAAAATGATAATAGTGGAGGCCAAGTTTCAGCAGGCAGTAACAAGCTGGTGGGTCTTTCTGCATAATCCCTTCTCTGGTCAAGCTATCTGTTGCCTGAGGACCAAACTAGCTGAGTTCAAAGACTTTCTTCCTCATTTTAGTTGAGGGGATATTAATATTTCAGCCACAACTGCTCATGAAACCCATCGACTGAGGCATTAAGGGGACCCTGATCTGCAAGAAGAAAAAGAGAACCCATGCTGATGGAATTACCAATCCATTGCTTGAAATAGTAAACTCCAATCATGCCACCACTTTTGCCTCTATTGAGATATTTTTAGTATCTCCTTTTTCCTTTGGTAATTATTTTGAGTGTTTAGCCCCAAACTGAGCCATGCTGTTAGGC